CAGCGTAAAATAGCAACTAAATTCTGCTGTGTTTCGTATGGTGACTATAGAGAATAGAAGACCCTTTTTACTGGAAACGAGGCATTCCATCTCATTTCTTAGGGGTGACAACGCTTTGCATTTTGATTATAAATCGAGTATAGATGTAGATGTTTTTAGTCCACAGCAACCACTTATAGTGGACTGTGTGCACTTTTGTCACCCTAAGTTACTAATAGAAACACGTCACACAAGTGACGTGCCTTAATTTTTTTTATATAATTTACTTGTTAAATTTATTAAATTGAATGAAGTCTTTATTTCAAATTATATTGTAAATTAAATAATAGATTATTAAATTACTTCAACTTATAAGATCGATTTTCAATATTTTTAATGAAACATAAAACGGACTGTCCACGTTATAATAAAATATCTGGCCATTTAAGTTTCAATTGAAAACGACAATACAGCTTTTCTACGTTAATTATATAAATAGGAACTTATATTTTAACGTTGCTTATATAAGTTATTACTTTTAAAATCTTTAGATTTTAAAAATAATAACTTATATTTAACTTTAAATTTAAACCAATTTTTTTAAATTGTTGCCTCTGACTGGGATCCGAGCTCAGGATCCTCGGCAATAAAAACCAATACACCACACAATCGTCAGTATTAGATCGAGGTTACTTTTATCGATTGTCGAAATTAAACAAAGATTAGGCCACAAAAACAGTTAAGCCAACAATTAAAATTGTAATTATCAACTAAATTTTGGCGGGGATCGAACGCGGGTTTGCTCGCGTACTTTGAAATTTAAAGTGCTAAAGTGTGAAGTGCTCAGCCGCGATCGTGGATCGTGTACTGATTTGTATGAATTAGTGTATATATCACATACCTACTATGTACTAAGCTTTTAAAATCTAATCACGAAATTAAGGTCCACTGACGGACTGACGTACGAGCACACAGTCCACCTGACTGTAAGTGGGCGCTGTAGCCCGAAGATGTCGTTAAGTCTCGTTGTTAGGTCACTTCGACTTAATGTGATTGAGACAGAACGAGACCTTATAGGCATCTTAAAATTAAGAGACAGACACCTGCATTTACCCTCAGTTTAAAATCAAAATGTGGATAAGTTGTCAGCTGAGGTCAAGGAGTAACTCCATACCAGTTAAAAGCATATACAAGCGACGTAAAAAAAGCTATTTTCTATAAAATCTCATAATAAAATATAAGATTATCGACTTATTAAAATGTTATAAAATATATCATTCGGAACAAACGCTTGTTTTCACGTCATTCCTCATCAACCCGTTATCAGTCTACCACTGAACATGGACCTCTCCTATAGTATTTGCCTTAATCTCTATCCGTGATCGACCTGAATATTATACATCAGATGACGATGATATGGTTATTTTTATAGAATTCATGGGTGACAAACGAACACACATTCCACTTGATATTATAGAAACCTGTATCTATGCTCTATCAAAAATCAAAATGCAGAATATGTTGTCACCCCTAAGAACTGATATGGAATACATCGTCACTAGTGAAGAGTTATACCGCGATTTTCCCGGACCGATACGACTTAGGTACTTTTAGGAAAAGAACTCTTTTTTAAAAGGCCGGCTAAGCACCTGCAATTCCACAGGTGTTGCAGTTGTTCATAGGCGGCGGTCGTCACTTATTACCAGGTGAGCAGCATCTAGCATGCGCATTTGCCTCTTACCTATTTATAAAAAAAAAACAGGCATTTCCCAAAAACGCGTCGTACGACACCCATACCATGAGTGTAATTCCGAGTGATATTTCTGGCAAATTTTTCACACATACATACATATTTTAATTCATTTCATTTTTAATTAAAGATATTTTTATTATTTTCATGAATTGCTACTTATTATTATTTTGGTTAAGTGTGCTAAAACCGATTACGTCAGCGCTTGAAGTTAATCATTCCTAAACACGTTCTATAAAGATTATACGTGACGATTTTAGTACGAAATTTATCGCCAACAGAGCGCTTAGACATAATATAAAGTACGTAAATGTTTAGCTACTGTATGGCTGTATAAATTCCACAATCTTATGACGCATCGCGTTGTCATTATCAATACGGTTTCATGCCACTTTCCTTCTTATTGTTGGCGAATTTCTTTAATAAGAAAACTGGCCCTTACTTGTTCAATGTCAATATTTGTTTTACTTTTATAACAAGCATAAAAGTAAGATTAGATAGATTTAAAACAGACATGCACGTTTGAAATGTTAGACTGATATTTTATATGTGTGTTTATATTTCTTTGAATTTTGTGTTAATACCCTCATTTAGTTTTTAATAACTAAACATTTTAATTTATGATAAATATTTAAATAAAAATTAGTAACAACTTTAAAATAATTTATCATTGCAATAAAATTATATTGTCTCTATCTGACGCCACATTAGAACAGTTGACTGTATGATCGAAATAGCAAGAATTGAGGTCAATGAGGCAATGTGGGCTACAGAGTAATGGCTTAAATTATGCCTGTAACATTTTCAGTATTTTAAGGAAACTTTAATCAAAATATTATTATGTTGCACCTAATTATTTTGTTTATAGTTCTTAATAATCTGATTTTGAATATAACACAACTATGGGAAAATATGCACAAAGCAAGGTGACAAGATAGGATATTAGCATAAAATTGGATTTGAAATAATACACTTACAAAAACAAATATACTTATTATTTTGTGTTGTAAATAATATTTTTCAGTATTTTTTAAAATTCCACTTAATTGATAGTACCTATAAAAAGATTGGCTGCCAATCATTATAAGTAGAAAAATCTATCAGTGTATCGTTTTCCCTTTTATATTTTTAACTAACGTTTTTATTACATTGCACGGAACCATAATTTTTTTCTACACTATAAGTAGACCCAACAAAATTGGGGCTACATATATTTTAGACAAAACAAAACAAACATAAAGTCCCGACAAAGTAGAAAGTCCCGACAAAATCGGTGAAGCCATTTCAGAGATTAGCCAAAACAAACAGATAGATAAAAATTTAAAAAAATTGTGTTTTTGTTATAAGTACTGTATATACTTTCATATGCATTTAGTAAAAAGCTGTTATTTTGATATTACAAACAGACTTATTATTTTATTTATTTGTTATAGATTTTACATACATGGTCATTACAGCTTATGAGGAATACTACAAAAAACAGTCCTGAGCTACCTATCTACACATACTTCCTATCTCTTACCAGGTGGTCGTTCCATGTAGTAGGGAACCGCCCTACACTTTTTTTACTGGTACAAGGCTACTCACAAACCTATTTTCCCCATCGGTTAACAGCTTACTGATCTGCTGCGTTTTGTCTGTTACCACGGTTCTACTGTGGATATCCTCAATAAGAAGTCTATCACGCTTAGAAACTATGAGCATAGCTCTCTACTTTGCCTGCTGACAAAGCAAACCTTGAGCTTTCTCATACAGTCAGCAGTGAAGAACCACATCACAGATCCATATGTCAGTATTATAATTAATAAGGTGAATTTAGTTTTAATATGAATAGAAGAAAAATTTATATGTTTTATCTGTGACCATACATGAGTTTTTAATATTGCTTTCACATAAGTATTTTTATCACATAAGCTTTTATTATCAGACTGACATATAAAGATCTTATAAATTTTTCTATTAATTCATGGTTTTTTATTTAAATTAGTAATCTCCAAGTCACTTCATGACTGTAACATTTTAAACTTTACATTTTTACAATATTTTTTATTGCAACAACACAATGTCATGCATATGTACATCCAGGTAAGGAAGAATTTAGGTAATGATTTCTTATATTTACGTGAACACTACACATTGAATAAAACTACTTTATGGGTTTTAACAAGCTTAATTGTACTTATTTTGCCTGAGTACTACCACCTGCTTGGAAGTTTGTAATTAAAGAAATTAAAACTAAACCCAAGCATACCACAGCTAGACTTCAAGACAAAGTAAGTTCATTCTATGTAGATTGAATCAAAAGTAATAATTAAAAAGCTCAAGGTACTGGTTAACTCTGACATCGGGACATCAATCACCTCAGTTCCCAGTGACCATTTGTGACACAAAGCACCCAAAATGCCAGGAATTAAAAATAAGTACAATTAAACATGATAAGATCCATAAAAGTAGTTTTATTCATGGATTTAGATATTTAATAAACTCGAATTATTTGTAACTGTTTGTTCATTTAATATGATTTCCAATCTTGATTATAGTGGTCAGTATTGATGACATTTTAATGGAGAAACTTATAAAGCAATGCTCTGACAATTGTGGAATAATTTCATGCAATAAAGCTTAGAAATGAAAATTGCTTTTTTATTATTTCTTAGTGGCCCATTGTTTATTTGATAGCAGAAACAATCTTGACAAATTCTGTTAAAAAGGAAAACTAGTCATAACCAGTTATAAATCTAATAAATTAAAGTGTGCATCAGAGAGTTCAACGTTCAGTAGTGGACTTATAATATAATAAATAATGAATGAAGATGAGTACACTTTCCATTAAATAGAATAATAATTGTCTTTAATTTTATGCATAATTAATAAATTCTATGAATTTCAAGTACTTTTTTTTTTAATATACTGGCAGTTGTTTTCTATATTATTGTGTGATGTTCAGCTCGTATGTGAAACAGAGGACTTGTACAATTATTTAAATGATTTATTACAATATATTCTATATGTACATGCCCCCAACAGCATAAATCAGTTATAAAATATGTACAAAATTTATAAATTATGAACAACTTTAATTTGAAGCGGAAAGTAAACATGTGATACGCAGGAATGTAGTACTTCGTGCAAGGATCATAGAATATAGGACTCACTTCTCTGTTCACTGAGTTTGCTTTGGTACCATCCTAAATGCATTCGCCTCGGCGCCATCAGGCACAAACAGCTTCGGAAATCACACGCTGGCCGCACGACCGGCCTTCACTGCTAGCTAGAGGGCGGCGGACTCAGGCGCCATTAAGGGCGACAGGGGTCCCGCCACACGCCGTCCTCGCTCCAATTCAAACCGTAAATCGGCAGGAACTCGTCTTCCACCACCAACTGTGCCATCCTCAGGCAAAAATGCAGCTACAAGTAGTGCACATATTACAAGCAGTGCTCCCAAAACGAATGGTGGACCTGGCACCATCCTCACATATTTTTCATCTGGTCTTCCATCTAAGCCAAGCACTGCATGTTCTTCATTGAGATCTACATGAAATAGGTAGAAAATTACACCAAACATGGCTGGGCCGAGACCATTACAGAGACCTCTGACACCGGTGACCATACCTTGCACTACGCCTTGTCGATCGGCACGGCTGTTTACAGATACATATGCACTGATGGCAGGGTAAGTCAATGAACCAAGGGCTGCTAACACTCCAGCTGCCCACATCATCCAAGTGCGGCTTCCGAAGCCATACCACATAAGTTGCAGCATTTCGAACAACAAGCCCAACATGATTGTATGTTTTGCTCCAAGCGATCGCATTAGAAAACCGAGCACAACTTGCACTGCAATACTGAGCACTCCCACTATCGCTATAAATATTGCCACTTGAACTACCCCAAAACCCATCACAAGTTTTAAATACACAAATATGCATGAATACTGTCCAGCTTCTGGTAGGTATGATAGAAATACGGCAACACACAACATAAGTACTGTACGTTCTGCACCAACTTTTCTTAGTGCGGCAAATGGGTCAGCCTGCTCCCAGCTTATAGCAGGCCCCCAGCCACTAGGTCTAACCTTTTCTGGAAGACTCTCGGGAACGGCAACCATTATAAAGAATACATCTAACACAGCGACAGCTGTAGCAGCAGCGACGACTAATGCCTCTCCATATAAGTCCATTAAATAGGCTCCAAGAGCAGGGGATATAACCATACTTGCGGCGAACGTCGCGGAGACAAGACCATAAGCTCGGGATCGTTCAGCCTCGGTAGTGACATCAGCCACGTACGCAAACACAATCGAGAATGTCACAGCAAACACTCCACTGATGCTAATCATTGCAAAGAACCACCATGTGTTTATTGTCATTAGCGGAATCGGAGCGCACGTGAAGAACACCGTAACCAGCAGGAAGAACTTGCGGCCCCACACGTCGGAAAGCGCACCAATAAGCGGCGCCGACAGGAAGGATAATATTCCCTTGATTCCCATTATAAGGCCATTCATCAGGAACGTATGGTCCGGGAATGTTGCGTTTAACACTGATATAATCGGCATTGTCAATAAACCCCACGCGAAGAACTCCAAAAAGATGACAACCAAAGCGTGGAAGACCGAAGGTTCGCCGATGCCCGACATTGTCATGATCCCGTCTTTCATAACAGTTTTTCTATTTCGTATCACCATTTCTACTTCAGTTTTTGTAGTCTTCGTGGGCGTCATTTAAGATTTAATCTATTTGTTTTCCTACTAAACTACTTATAATAAAGACATAATGAAACGCTAAGCACTACATTGATGTAATCTTTTTAGAAAAACGAAAACGATGTATTGAAGTACATTGAACGTCAAATATCCACTGATCCACTGTGTGAATTATGAAAATTGAAAAACAACTCGATATTCGTGTTGGTGTTGCCTATTACAAAATTCAAAAATATACGAAATTCATGGAAGGTATAATCTTGCTTTCGGATGTGTATGTACTAACTTGGGTACTAACCATAGATAAATATATATGTAGCAAGCTGGTACTAACATAGAATATACGGTACTAATCATAGACTTAAAAAATACTCTGGCGCACAGAACACAATTACTCTCTACTATGGAGTGTAGAGTACAAGGAGAACCATCTTATTAGGGGCGAAAGTTGAAAAAGTGTCCTACTATTTACTGAAAGTAGAGGTTCCAAAACCTACCACAATAGCGCTGGCGTCTGAAAAACTACGATATGAAGATAGCTGTTATGAACGGAGTGAAGTCAGCTGACTTCAAATATTTCAAAAATTTCATGACTAGATTAGTTAGTAAAACGCCAATATACAAAATCTCAACTATTTACTTAGTACAAAACCAAGCGGATTGGTCGGTCCTTATTTATTTCTCCATCTTACTCTAATTACTTTTGGCGCTTTTTTTTAATTTATCCTATGCTACTGCAGCGCCACCCTTATTGGACACGTTTTTAGGGACACTTTTCATAGAATAGAGATGGTCCTCCTTCTCTCTAAGTTCCATACTCTCTACCAAGAGAAGAACGCCAACTTCATTCTAAAAATAGACATAGTATCTTCAATCCTCTATCTACGATTCTAAAAAGCGGAAACACGTGTTTATGAGTATACACTAAAAGCGCTACGGTGGACGCTCATATAAAACTTTTTAACGGGAATTTCAAACCATTGTATTCTGTAACCTTAAACTTTTTATTTAAGGCATATTCGAGTAATTTTGGCTCAAGACTCACAAACCTATGGGGAAAATTTCTATATACTCGTATTTGAGAGGTTGCACCAAAATTACTCGAATATACTTTAGATTAGTATGTGGTATAAAATAAAACTATAAATAAGTATAATTATGTAATTTTATTTTCTGGAAGACAGATTGTTTTATAAACTATACATTATTATTGACGTTTTTTTATTGCTTTTGTACATAATATTGCCACGTTTATTACTGATATATTGTCAGTGAGTTATTCTTCACAAACCATTAACGTAAATTTTAATCAGCAAAATTCTCATGATGAAACTTAACTCAGCCGAAATACGTGATCTGAAACAGATACAATTCGAGTCAATATAGTAATAATCCATACAAATAACGGCATATTAATTCAAAATGTTTATAGACTTACCACAACATTGTTATAAGTTTTTCTTTTCCTATCATAGGAAACCTGCAGACAGTGATCAGATGATTGTGCTTTTTATTTACAACATTTAACTTACTTTCGATGACGATCACAAATCGTGCAAAAAAAATTTGAAATAATGAATTCATTTATATTCAATATTTATACAGAGTTTACAACTCACAAAGTAAACTCTAAAAGTCTTTACTGTATATTCACGACGACTGTGTATTCACCTACATATGAAAATGAAGTCCATAATAACTGAATTTAAACTAAAATCAATAATAAATATTAAAAACTAAACCTATGAACTAAATTTTAATAAATTTCAGAAAATATCTTCAATATGAAAGACGTTGACAAACAAATGTCATTTTTTTTCTATTAATTGATGGCTTCTTTTGATAGAATTCTGCTAATATTAAATAATTTAATTTAAATGAATTAATAGGTAAATTATTTGTGCAAATCTCAGAGTAATATTTTTGTAATTATACTTTAAAGAGCAAACCAAAAAAAGTTTAACACAGAATTAACATTTTTAGTTTCTTCCGATATAACATGAATTCTTTATTTACAATTTTACATAATACTTAATTTTATCTACAATATTAAAAACTATGATAATAAAAAAAAAACTAAAAGTAGAAACTTAATTATCATATAGTCCTACTCCCCGCGGTATCGTGCCAAGAACGCTGGCTGCGTTTCCCCGCTGAATGGCTATACTTAGCCTTTGAGCGAGGAAAGAACCAGCCCTCCTATCACCAGCAGCAACGACCAGCCGCGGATGGAGTTCCTTTAGGAACTCCACCGCACGTGGACCCCACGGACCGATAGTCTCTACAGCAAATGGCACAAATATGTAGTCATCTCTCAGAGACTCATATTTGTGTATCTAATTTTTAAAATGGCAATCTAAAACAACCTGAAGGAAAGAAACAGTGATATTTTTTCTCGCTTAATTTTTACAAGTCCAACACGGACATTGACAAAATCATGATTGTGTGCAGATTTTTAAGCTTTCATACAAAGTTGGATCACCTTGCTCTGGCGTATAGACCATAGATAAATATATATGTAGCAAGCTAGTATAGACGACCTGACCACGACCTGACACCCCGAAAACGCGTGATAACTAGTGATGTACATTTTACTTACAAGGAAAATTTTGATTGTTAAGGAACCGGTAAAAATATTTAAAAAAATTGTTTAGTGCACGAAATTGAATAACTTAAAAAAAATAAACTGAATTTTTAACATGATAGTTCTAAAATAATTAAACAATATTCATATAATATGTTCCTGGGATTAAGCTGAAACAACCTGCCTTTTGTTGGATTTAAATTCAAATGTATAAAATCCCAGGTGACTCTACCGATAAACTCATAAAACTCCCCAAGAATCAGATCGGAAAATTGTATTTTCGAGCTATGATCTTTAGAGAAAAATATTTACTGCCATGGACAGTTTCCCCGGAATTTCTTTTTTAACATATTGTTAATATTTTTTTTTAACATATTGTTAATATAAATAGGTAGATATTTAACTAAGTATATATCTGAAAGGGTCCAACAGACAGGGGTTAACTCTTTACTTAGGTCTAAGGCATTGACTTGCGATGTGTTCCCGGCACAGCAGATGCACTTCACTGGCCTGTGACAGTTGGCAGATGCATGCCCGAAAGCCTGGCAGCGGTGGCATTGGGCCGGACCCACTCGACCTTGCCAGGCTTCGATGACAACCCCTCTCATGTAGAGGAGTTCGACGATCTGGTAGAGTTGATTAAGCCTTTCTAGGCGCATGTGGTTCAGCTGTACATAGTAGAGGCACGCAGGTCTACCTCTACGGGGGTGGGGGGGGTGGGGGGGGTTAGCCCTCAAATATGTTATGGGGAATCCCTTAGCCCTAATAGCCTCCTCTATCTGGTTGGTATCCGTGCACACTGGCAGCCCCCGGATTCCCACCTTCGTGGGCTTCTCCTCTGCCGGGGTGTGGCAGTACCAGGACAGTGCTGGTATCTTCTCCGTGACCTCAATTAGTTATTTTTGAATAGCCCGGAATTCTTCCGGGCTCTGTGGGGTGAATCGTACTCCTTTTCCGAACGGACGGGCGTTGGGCGGATGTCCCAGCTTTACATTCAGCACTTCGAAGTGCCTCGTCCAGTCCGGGAGACACTCTATTATAATGGACAGGTGGCGTGCCTTTTCTTCCTCCTGTTGGGTTTGAGATACGTCAGCTGCTTTGGGTCTCGGTGCTGGCATCGCTGCTAGTTGCGCATAACTGGTTGAAGGCCTCTGACCATCATCTTGTGGTAGGCCTGAAGGGTTGGTAAGGACGTCGATTGTCCGGAGGTGGCTATTGTAGCGTAGGTTGTGGAGTCCCAACTGTAGGACTCCTCCCCCCCTTGCTCTGACTCCGCCGCGTCCATGTTGCTCCTGCGGTCGGGTGAGGTAGGGGGAGGGGGGGAAGTTGGCTTCGATGGGGACGGCGATTTGAGTGGCAAATTGTGGACCCTATATCCTTTCGCGGTTGGGATTCCTCCGTCTTCCGATTCGGATGAAGATGATGCTAATGATGATGCTGAGGATAATGGTGATTCGACGCATTGCCTCTTCTCGAAGAGCGATGCGTAGATCTCGGGTGGCGTATGCCTTCGTGTCGATTTCGTCGCCCGTTGTAGTAAAGGCGACGGTTCCTGTTCACTCGTGCGCTCAGGCAGGGGTTCTTTACGTGGTGACGCAGGTTTTCTCATTGGGATCTGGCTGAAAGGTGTTGTTTTTGTTTTCTCCGGGTTTGATAGCTCCCTAACTAATAACGGACGTTTTAATACGCCCGGTCAGTCTGGGGGTTTAATAACGCGAGAGGGTGGAGGGGCTTCCCTTTCCCCTTTCCCGTCATTGGCTATATGTGATTATTACAAATCAGGTAACCTATTTCGTGTCTTGCTTATTGTTCCTACCTAACGAGCCGACAGCGGTGATAATGCGCGACGCGATTTGGTAGGGGGAGGGGGAATGATTGGTGGCTTCAACACTTGGGGCCACTGCCTAGCCCTTTTGTTGAAAGGGTTGGAGGAAGTGCTTAGGTGGCACACTAGTAACGCGACTTGACACTAAGAACACAGAGCGCACTTGAGTGCCAAGAATCTGCCTAAGGGCCGGTGACATTGACGCCTCTCGGAGTATGCAACTCAACGATTAGCGGAGTATGTCGTACCGGCGGTTGCTTGGGACCACTGTTAATCCACAAGACACGAGATCTTTGACGAATTTCCTTACCTTACGTTAGGTACGAATTTCCGGTACGTTGTCTTCCGCGTATGCAATTATCAAAACTATTCGATAATCGATAATCCGATTTTTATCGAGTATTTTATCGATAAAAACCGAGAATTGCCGATTTACATAAGAAGTACCTGTATCTTAGAATTTCTTTCTTTGTGCATTCTACTCTACAAGAAAATTTAACGTTTTTATAATTCAGTCAAATACCTTATTTAATTAAAAATCTGGTTTCGGTTTTATATCCATAAAATTACAAATCAATATCGAAAAAAAAAACAAGTCTTAATCATAATAGCTATGGTATCTACTATTAAGCACCGAAACAAATAAAATCTTTTTCTCACAAACAAAAACATAAAATATAGGTACTTTATGTAGGTAGAAAACTAGTCGAAAAAAAATTACTTATTAAATAACACTTTCGTCTATTAGGGATTAGGTAACTAATTTTAATGATCAAATCAGTCATTTTAAAACAGTAATCATTTTAAGTAATATGTAGTTAAAATTATTATGAACTGTTTTAAAATGACTAATTGTTTATCAAATTATAAAAACAATCAAATAAAATATTTATATTTACCTATTACTTAACATTTCTAGTTTAATTATGAATCAATTATTGTAACAATTAAATCAGTCTTTTAATTAAGAATAATAAGTAGGTACTATATATACATACCTAATCGATTTCGCACATCGCACTCATTCGGTATTCATCATTTCATGACCGACACGAGTATACGGGAACAAACCTAAATGTATTAAATTCACAACAACGAATGTTAAAAATCTGAGTGCCAATGTGTTTTTAAATGGGAAAGAACTGAGTCCTGTTGAATCCACTGTTTTTCTTAGCACCACTCTCGACGCAAAGCTTCAGTGGGGCCCCCATATGTCCAAACTAGCAAGCAGACTAAGTTCTGCAGTGTATGCTGTAAAAATGATTAGAGGTCTTACTAGTGTCGGGACAGCTAGATTAGTTTATTTCAGTTATTTTCATAGCATAATGTCTTATGAGATTTTGCTATGGGGAAATGAGGCTGATTCAGAAACTATTTTTGTTTTACAGAAGAGGGCCATTAGAGCTATTTACAACCTAAAACCGAGAGAGTCTCTTAGAGATAAATTTAAAGAAATAAATATATTAACTTTGGCCTCTCAGTATATTTACGAAAATTTAATGTATGTTCACAAAAACAAAGGTACTTTTAGTAAAAAAAAGTGATGTACATACTGTAAACACTAGGAACAAACATAAGCTAGTGATACCAGTTTCTCGACTCCACAGAGTCAGTAATTCATTCTTGGGGCAATGTATACGCTATTACAACAGGGTCCCGGAAAGTGTATAGGCTCTCTCTATTACCAAGCTTAAATGTTTTGTTAAGTTGAAACTGTATAAAAAGGGTTATTATAGTATAAATGAATACATGGTTGATAATAACCCCTGGGAATGAGGTGGTCGCTTCCAAGCTGTTTCTAAAACAAATTTAGTATCTACCAGCCATTAATGTAAAATATGCTTTTAAAAAAGTCCCGCTGGGTTTCTTGCTGGTTTTTTCCAGCACAGAGGTTTTTTTTTCGAACCAGTGGTAAAGTAAAAAATCACTTTCAATAAGAATTACACACGTGATCTATATTGAATAAAAAATTATTCTATTCTATTCTAATGAGTGAGCGAGACCCTGGTGGGTGGAATGACACCGCACGCGACGCGAAATTCAAAAAATGACTTGCGGTAGTGATGAAAATGATTGCATAATACCTTTCTGAATTCATCGTTTATCGGTATTTTTCAAGAAATTTTTCGATAAATATCGGTGAAAAAATGAACTGATTACCAATAAATTATCGGTTATCAATTATCGGTTTGCATGCACTAGTCACAGGCCTCGGAGCATACCCCATTGCCCGAAATCTCCTCGCGGTGCATTACTATGCACCGGTCTTGGGAGCCGTACGATTCGTACGGTACGAATTTCCGAATTACTAGTTTACTAAACTAGACACAAGCTGTACGCGAAAGAGAATCGCGCGCCACGTGCCATTTCGACAAATTTTTACATTGATTTTTATCATTGCACCCTTATATTTTACCCCATATCTTTATTTATTTAAAACATATGGTTACGCAATTTTATTTATAAGAAACACATTCAAAGTCTTATCATTATGTTATACATTACATCGTTATCACATAAAAACATATTAAGATATGCATCCGAATACTATGTAACACATGACTCTAAATTAATCTATAAACAAATTTTTGTGGAATTAACTCTCGACCGGGGAATCGAACCGTGAAATTTCGTTTGACAATTACATTGAATCTATTATTCGGAATGAATTATATAATTTAAAAGCAATAATTTTAAAATACGAATTTATTTATTTTTTATGAAATGAAAAATGACAAACTATTTTTTAAGCGCGTCGCCAACAATACATACCTATTTATATTTTACAAAATCTTTTGATGGGGAAATAAAAAACAGGGACACAGAGTACATAAGACTGCATTATTTTTTGATATAAGTATTACTTTTGACAATTACAAACATTTAATAATTAAATAAGTTAGAAAGAGCTTACACCTTTTTAAAAGGCCGGCAATGCATCTGCAATTCCCCTGGTGTTGCGATTGTTCATGGGTGGCGGTAGTCACTTACCATCAGGTGAGCCGCATGCTCGTTTGCCCCCTCTTCTATAAAAAAAAAGTTATAGAAGTTTATTTTAACATTCGATATGAATGTAAACTTAATAATTTAAGTAAGGAAACTTGTAGGAATCAGTTAAATAAGATTGCTCTGTTTAAAGGCCAATATGTTTGTGAGGCTTCATCATGCTTCATGTTCATATTATTTAATTAGTAAAAAGTAATAATAAACTTATTATCATTTTAGCAGCATGAATTTTTAAAACATAATGATCTTAACAGAGTAAAGTACACCAATTGTCTGATGATAAAGATGCACTCTCTATTCTCTCAATCTCGGTATGTTAAGAAAATGGTCTCTCATTCATGGACTGACCGCGGCAAGTGCAACTTAATCTCGCAGATCTGTTGATCCGCGCAGCTATTATTTAACAACGAGTTCCTCTTCTCTACTACTGTAGAGAACTGCTGTAGGCGATGAACCACGCTATTTAAGTCCTCGGCACAATGTCGACGGCCATCAAGCATGAATTGGGCATCGAGCGTTGTGAGTATCAAATACTAAGGAATTTATACTATCGCGTCTTATGTGCGGGCATCTAGTGGTGCTTCAGGAGCATTACTAAATATCTATACCTAACTACGCTAACAGTTTTATCATTGTAATTTGGGAATATAATCCGAAGCTCCGCTGAACCCCTTGGGGTAATTAGTGTGATGCTATGAATATTAAACCAGTGTGACCGTGAGGCTGTGCGGTTAGTTAAGTTAGGTTATACATTTATTTTGATTGACAAATAGATACTTAGTTGGGTTTATAATAGCATAAAGAGGATTATCTTAAGAGTTTTTTTCTTTAATATACTACAGTTTTATAATGTATAAAAATCTCTCCATTATTATCTAAAGTTTTGAAAGTTAAATTTTTGAAGTCTTATTATTTGCCACTTAAGAAATTTACCAAGGAAATGGGCGACTACATATTCATAACTTATTTGTATAGGAAAATGAACATACAACTTACCCTTTGTAACTGTTCGTCATATATAATTATTATGCAGAATTTAACAGTTCATCTTCATCATCATCTTAACGTATTGCTGGCTCACTACTGAGCATAAGTGGGTTTAGACCATAGTCCACCACGCTAGCTAAATCATTTTGGAGAACTCTCAGGAACGCAAGTTTCCTCTCGATGCTTTCCTTCGCCTTTTAACAGTTAAGGTATTATAACTAAGAAATAAAACAAATTTCGTGTTATTATTATATATTTTATTTATATTTCATAAGAGTAATTGTGGTAGATCTCGGAGTTCAAGTGGCCGTACTCCAGGAATTTCTGTTGTGAAAGGTGTACTAGTATGTTTCACAAGTACATTATTTTGTGATTTTAATTTTATATATCTGGCAAGACACATGTCGCAGCAGGAACGCGTTTGAGTTTTGGCGGGAACTTGACCGGCGGTGGTTTGCTGCTCATGTATTATAGTTTAAACTTTAAATAATAGTTTGAAGTGGATTTTGATATTATGTAAAGGTGGTGCGATTTTATGTATTAACTGTCTACGCATGTGACCTATTAGTGGACACGGTGAAACAAGTGCTCTGATGGTGATGGATTCACAAGATAAGCTGTTTGTCTGCATAGGCGCCTTTAGATACCATCGCCAACAGTCAGCTGTCTGCTGGCTCAAGTTGCCGTCAAAATCTCTCAAGGGCTGCACAATGTGACGCATCAACATTCAACATATTGTGAAGCAGTGAACTATGAAGGATAATTATACATTTGGGGAAATTACAATAAACCGAATAAAAATACTCGTCTTGGCCTAAAGGTCTAGATACCAGGCCATAAGCTCCAAAAAAAAAGCAACGCATTTCGTACAGCCAGCTTTTCGAATGGTATAATTGGAGTTTGCAAACGTTTCTCTTCTTTAATCTTTAATAAACAATAAAACATTTAGGATAATCTGCTGCGCATAACTTTTAAAAATTTTAGGTATTTTATTTGCACTTTTCAAAAGGAAATTATATAAATCGAACTAATATTTTTTTAAATGTTACAACACTTGGAAGGGGAACACAAATGTCATTGTCAAGCGTCAATGTCAAAATCAAAATAATTAGAACAAGTAGGCGTATTCACCAAAAAATAAATTACACAAACTTTCTACACAATGGTATTTAATTTAAATTCAAGTAATACCTCTAAAATTTTGCAACCACTTATGCCATCGTGTTATTTTTTTACAGATCCGCTTTATTTTAATTCAAAACCGAGCTGGTAAGACACGTCTAGCAAAATGGTATATGAATTTTGATGATGATGAGAAACAGAAACTGATAGAAGAAGTACACGCTGTTGTTACTGTGCGCGATGCAAAGCACACGAATTTTGTTGAGGTAAAACTTAGCCATTTACAAGCGTACTTTTCTATGCTTTTTAGGCCATCAAAATTTAAAATTATTGATTTAATTTATTTGGTACAATGAATATTATAGTAATAGCTTTTTTTTTATAATAATTTCAGTTTCGAAACTTCAAAATAGTGTACAGGCGATATGCAGGATTATATTTCTGCATTTGTGTGGATGTGAATGACAACAATTTGTGTTATCTTGAAGCTATCCATAACTTTGTTGAGGTGTTGAATGAATACTTCCATAATGTATGTGAATTGGATCTGGTATTCAACTTTTATAAGGTAAGTGGCAAGACTCTTTGTGTTAGAGACTTGCTAACTGTAATTAATAAACATAATATTTTTTTGTAGACATAATGTAGACAAAATTTTACATTTCTAGGTATACACAGTGGTTGATGAAATGTTCCTGGCAGGAGAGATCAGAGAAACCTCCCAAACTAAAGTACTGAAGCAGCTTCTCATGCTAAATTCTTTAGAATGATTTTTTAAAATATATATTTGTGGCTCATATGATATTTTGCTTATTTTGTTAATTGTAACAACATACTGCAGTTAAAGGATACGGTGGACGGTGTCACACTATGGTGATTCCACTACTTAGCTACCACATTGGGAATGGCTTTGGTACGACTATCCATTGGCAAGTACGACTATCCATTGGCAAACGGGTTGGCAACTGCAGTTTTTTATTTTTATTGTCTTTATTAGGTAGATGCTGCTGCCCATCTCCTGATTTGTTTCCCTCTGTCGCCTCTTACAACACCCACGGGATGATATGGGATAGTGAATATTCTTACACTGCCACTAAACGGTTTGCAATATGGGATAAATAAATAATAACACATTGAGTGTTTATGTAGTTTAGTAAGTTTCAACTTTTACAACAACTTATTGAAAGTTTGAAAAACAATTTGCAGCAATGTAATGAAAATTTTAATGTGTTAAAATTATAGTTTATCAAGATAAATTATAGTAAAGACAAACACTGTTTATTGTATTTAAAACCAAAACAAGGGCTTCGATACTCAAAAATAAGGCACTAGAAACACAATTGCACTGTTGTACTGTACACTTAGAGTCGGTAATATTACCAGCTTTATATTATATTATTTAGACTAAGATCTGAATAGAGCGTTTGGTGGTGTATGCAGTATGGTAGTTTCCATAGTGTATAGTAGTCCTAGAGTATTTGAGGTATACAATCTATAAATCATATAAGTAAATACAACACATTGAAATATAAAATATAAGAAAATAAATAAAACCCAACTCGAGGGGAGCTCCTGATAGCAGAGATCTAACAGCCAAAGTTTAGTTGAAAAGTGAGAGAATTCATATGTATGTTCAAATGGTATTTAGAAGCCACCATTTGTATTACATAAATTTTATTATATTATATAATAATAATTAAAAATATCTATCTTATAATAATTGTACACTGGGCTTGTTGAACCTATTAGTTAACCTATAAATATATTATAACTGTAGATGAATTAAGGTAATCTATAAAAAAAATATAATATTGCGATAGGAGATTTAAAAGCTTTGCCCAATTTTAAATTTGTATATACTAATTTATATCTGTGCGATTCTTGTGTAGCATTTTATTTAAGTTAATAGTGTTATTTTAAAAATTACCGATTTTCAGCAATATATGATAACACATTTAAAACATTATACTTACCGTTGTAGGAAATTGATGTGCTCACAATGTATCTGCTATTCCAAAAGTTTTGTGATACTTAGTTCGATGTTTAAAGTTTTGTATTAAAAATATTCTTGTAAAAATATTTATCAAACATAAAAGTATGGAAAATATTTTCTTTTATTTATTAAAACAACTGACTTCAGATGTTGTCCTATCTGGCATGAGATCACTGATTTTCAAACTCCTTCTTTTATTAACACTAGTTGAAATAATATAAAATTAAAAATTTTGTACTACCAATTTCAATATATATTATTAAGGATAGCTCAAAAACTATTCGTCAGACCTGGGTCAATTTTTTTTTTAAAATTTATATGATAGAAACAGAAACAGAAACTTTTTTATTCAATATAGATTATAAATAATTCTTATTGAAAGTCACTCTTTTGTTTGATTACCACTGGTTCGGAAAAAACCTCTGTCCTGGGAAGAACCAGCAAGAAACCCAGCAGGACTTTTTTTTAAATAACAGCTTACAATCATGATGTTACACAAATTAACAACACAACAAATTAGAAATAGCTTGGTAGCGATCACCTCATTTCCAGGGGTTATTATCATCCATAAATTCCTTAATATTATAATAACCCTTTTTATACAAACTTAGTTTAATAAAGTTTTTGAACTTTGAACAGGTCAAACTTTGTATATTTTCTGGAATTTTGTTGTAAAAGCGTATACATCGCCCCAAGAATGAATTACTGACTCGATGGAGTCGAGTAACTGGTACTACTAGCTTGTGTCTGTTCCTAGTATTTACAGAATCAATATCACTTATTTTTGTAAAACTACTTTTATTTTTGTGTACGTACATTACATTTTCATAAATGTATTGAGAGGCCAAAGTTAATATATTAATTTCCTTAAATTTTTGTCGCAGCGACTCTTTAGGCTTTAAATCATAAATTGCTCTTATGGCCCTCTTCTGCAAAACAAATATAATTTCAGTGTCAGCTGCGTGTCCCCATAGCAAAATACCATACGACATTATGCTATGGAAGTAGCTGAAGTAAACTAGTCTAGCTGTTTCAACACTGGTTAGACTTCTAATCTTTTTTACAGCATATGCTGCAGAACTAAGTCTGCTTGCTAGTTTTGATATATGGGGGCTCCATTGAAGCTTCGCGTCTAGTGTGATTCCAAGAAAAATGGTGGTATCTACAAGACTCAGTTTCTCCCCATTTAAAATTACATTAGTATTTAATTGTTTGACATTTGGAGTCACGAATTTCATACATTTTGTTTTAGTGCCATTTAAATGCAAATTATTAACATCGAACCAATTTACTAATTTAGATATAGCATTATTTACTTCGTCATATTTTAGTAACTGTCGACTTAATTTGAAAATTAATATATCACATGAAAAGCACCAGCTTTCAAATAAAAAAGTATCATCGAAATCGGTTCACGTAGAACAAAGTTATGAGGTAACACACAAAAAACAAACAGTCGAATTGAGACCTCGAGAGAATCGAACCTCCTTCTTTTTGAAGTCGGTAGAAAAAAACAAAATTGGTTAGCAGCAGAAACCTCCACAGAGAATTTTTTTAAAAACTTCAAATTAAACTCCTGAATTACAAAATTAACAGTGCTATGCTTGCTTTTATGTAGGTGTACATTGTAATAAATATATTGCGTCCAAGCTCATTTTCTGCCGACGTCCAAAAAGGAGACGGTACTCAATTCGACTGTTTTTTTTATGTGTGTTACCTCATAACTTTTTACTGTGTGAACAGATTTCGATGATTCTTTTTTTATATGAAAGCTGATTCATCTCGTGTGGTCCCATATAAATAATATTGATCAAGGTCAGACCAATAGTTTTTGAGTTATTCTTAATAACTTATATTGAAGTCGGCTGTACAAAATTTTAAATTTTAAATTATGGAGCACACTGACAACTTTACGTGGTAGAGCCATGCTGCAGCTCTATTAGTAGTACAGTTGTAGTATGAATGGGTCGGCTCGACCGGGGAAGGACCACGCTCTCACAGAATACCAGCGTTTCTACTTTTTATTTCGGTTATCTACAAAGGCGTGTTTTTTAAACTATTATTTTTTAAGTAACATTTTTGCAACTTTTACGCGGTTTACAGTTGATATAAGGCCCTGTCCGCACTGCGATATTTCACCGCGCGATTTTTTTTCTCGCAATTCTGAAAACATAATAATAATATATTTATTTACCCTCACAATTTAAGTTTACAAGGTAGGTTATAAACAAAGTAGACTATGGATTGAGTCTGGTGTCTGTACTAGGCGGAAGCCTGTGTTACGGATCACCAGGGTCTCCCCCTCAGGATATATACACATAGAATCTGATAGGAGCATTGGCGGTAAAAAAATCGCACGGGAAAAATCTGTGATTTATGCAAATTGACCGCGAAGCGGTGCGATTTATTTCCGCGCGAATATTTTGTGCAGTATAAAGTAAGTAAGTATGGCTATGTCCGCACTGCGGAATAAAATTCGAGCGTCTCACTCCAGCTTAAATTATTTTTGTCCAATTCGTATTTTGATAGGTAATAGCCCAACCAATAAGTCTTAGTAAATTATCGAATGATTTTATAGTCACTCTATAATATCCGAAAACCTTTTTACTGTATTTTCGCAGTATATTTTGTTTTGTGTAGAAAAATACTTTCATAGGTCTCAAGGCCGTAAATTAGTGAATCCAATGTTCACGACATTTTTTGATACGTCTATCACGCCGCTGCCGTAATATCAGGTAAATTAAAAATAAATCTGTTGTTAATTTTTAGACGTGCGTTTCAGCGGGGTACTGCATCGAACTGACAAAAATCGTACGAAATTTTATTCGCAGTGCGTACTAGGTGTAATTCCTACCACGGAATATAATACGCCAGAATATACGTCGCGCGGTGAAATATCGCAGTGCAGACAGGGCCTAACTGGCAGAAATCGTAATTGTTTTATGAATTATTCGCACATCCTGAGGATCCCGGCAAGGATAATGGGACAAACTAATTAAATCACTGCATTGTCATCGGTCCTTGATAAGTGTGCGAAGTTTCAAATCAATCCGACGTTTTGAAGGGGATGAAAATCACATTCAAAAACTCCGTTACATAGATACATACCAAGCTAATCAAAGCGTGTTAAATAAGAAAACTATGTTAATAAAAAATGTATGTAATTTATTTAATACAACGAAGAAAGATTACGCTCTAATGAGTATTAAGCAGTGTACTTGACTTATAATAATTTCTTTTCCGCTACTGCCATTCCCAATTGTGCAGAATGGGGGGAAACATCCAGAGGTCGGGGTGTCCTATGTGCGAAATGTGGGGACCCATATCAAATTCACTCCACCTGCAATAATTAAAAACATCTTTCATTTTTATGGTTCCGTACCCGAAGGGTAACCACAGAATACATGTACCCTGACGGGCAACGGGACCCTATTAGTAAGCCTCCGCTGTCCGTCCGTCCGTCAGTCTGTATGTCAGCGGGCTGTATCTCATGATCCGTAATAGGTAGACAGTTGAAGTTTTCACAGAATATGTCCTTCTGTTGCCGCTATAACAACAAATAGTAAAAATAAAAATAAATTATAAATTAAACGGGCCTCCCCGTTAGTTAGGTTAGGTTAGGTTATGTTATTAGAAACGTGTTTTACGATGGTAAATTAAGAAAAAATAGACCCTTCATGCGCGATGCCGACTCGCACTTAGCCGGTTATTTATTTTTATTCAAAGACTAGCTGTTCCCCGCGACTTCGCCTGCGTGTAATTTAAGGTTTTATATTTTTGCGCGGAACCCTAATACTTTTTCTAAAATTAAAGTAGCCTAAGTTACTCCTTATAACATCAGCTATCGATCAGTGAAAGTCCCTTCAAAATCGGTTCAGCCATTTCGGAGATTAGCCGGAACAAACAGATAGACTGACGGACAGACAGACAGACAGACAAAATTTTTAAAAATTGTGTTTTGTTATAAGTACCGTATATACTTTCATATGCATTAAGTAAAAACCTCTTATTTTGATATTACAAACAGACACTTCAATTTTATTTATTTGTATAGATTACCACTAGGATTTTCTACTGTATCATGGAGGCAGTTTACACATACAAATTTCACAAGGATAAACATCCAAACCCAAAACAATTATACTTTAACTGTACCATGTGACCCAAACAGACTGAAAATGGGCCATACTTGTTCTGTGTGGGACTCGAACCCGCGGCCCTCATCGCCGCAATTCATCGCTAAGCCATTGGCAGATGGGTTGGCAACCGTAGTTTTATGTTATTTCGAGTTCAAATCAGGAAGATGCTGCTGCCCATCTCCTGTTTAAGACTCCCTCTGTCGTATCTTAAGACACCCATGGGGCGATATGGGGCAGTGAATTTTCGCACACCATTACATGGTAAAATGCAAATACATTATTCATGTCTCTGTAACTGTACTTTTTACAACCTCCATACGTCCCACGACTGGGCACAGGCCTTCCCCCGTTTCTTAGTGTAATTGATCATTTATTTCGGCGCACTACAAATTACTATTGTATCGATATGTACATTACTATTGTATCGATATATTGGTATCAGTATCAATACCGATAAACTGATTCCAAGTATTGATATATTTGTACTCAAATCAAATATCGATACCAATATCGATAAATCGATACCTAAATATCAGTATATATATATATTGATAACCCGATGTCGATACTTGCGAAATATCGGTATTACAGTCCCTGACTACAATGCGTGTTGGCGGATATCACGTGTCCTCAAAATACACGTGGCTACATATAAAGCCACCATAACATAGCTGCAGCGTGCCTCTACAACGTATTAGAAACAGATATATACGTAGAATAGAAACAGGAGATGGGCAGCAGCATCTTCCTGATAACTACGACACTCTACGAGACAAGCCTACTAAGCTTATGTTCTGAATGAACAAACATTGTCCTCGCCATAGATTGCACAGGCTGATTATCGATATTTGAGGATATACTTAGTCGGGTCATAAGTTCCGTCAAAACCATATTATTTAAAATTTTTGAATACTGACTAGATGAACTTCACTAATATTAAAAATGTAACGTTTGCGCTTGCCGAAAATA